GCTCAAATGCCGAGAGAAGGAAAAAGCCGGAATGCGCAGATTCATAGAGCTAAAGATTTTCTCGCGGAACCTGAAGATTTTCTCGCGCTTTCCCTCGGAATTTCTCTCGCGGCTTTTGTCTTTTCTCGTTTGGTTCTTCGTTTCCCTCCTCGGTTGTTGGAATGCAGAACAGAGAGAGAACCACGTCACTTGGCATGAAACAAGAGATCATTAAACTACCCTTCCTTAATGTGGGATTTTCTATAATTTTGCATTAATCATGATCATAATTATTTTCGTCCTAAACCGGTTCAAATCGAAATCGAAAGTATGATCTAATTACAAACCGTTAAACCGAACCGGTTTATGATTTCGAATTTCATTTTGTCTGTTTGAACTCATTTTACGCCGTCCGTCTTTCGTCTGCCTACGCCTGCTCCCATGGCGAATTTCAGCTCTCTAATCCCAAAAACGCCCCTGAAACGCGTCATCACGGCAACAGACGGAACCCTAAAGGCGTCGGCAGTTCATCTAGCGGCCGCGTGGAAGCCCGTCTCGGGAGAGGAATTCTACAGATGCCACCATGTTCATGGTTTGTAGCGCTGTTGAATTCGCGAGTAATTGGTATTACCGACGAACGATATGGTTTTCCGATTTTTCAGATGATTCCGTAGATAGTGACTTCAAATTCATGAGTTTGAGTTTGCATTTTCCATGGCGATACACGGAAGGAAACCGATATACTTAGTATTGGAGTAGATCGAAGAGATTAATTTTAGGGGGCTTGAAGCTTTCGATTTTTTTTCCTTCCTCACGTTTGAAGAGTCTAATTGAATAGCAATGCAAGCTCACATATTTGGATTCAAAGTTTATCTCTTTCTTATTATGATCATTTTCCCTGGGAAGCTCCGAACTTGTGACTTCTGTGTGATGTAATCTTTATCACTTACGTGATATAATACGGTGTTCCTGGCAAGAAAACAAAAATGGAAAAGTGGGTTCTCTCTCTCTCTCTCTCTCTGATGATCCGGACCAAAAGTATGGATCTTTCACATTGTTCTCAAGCATGAAAATCATGTGCTTTGACATGATTTCTTGTCTGTTTGGATTTAGTTGAACACTTGGCGTGTTTTGAATCCATACCATGACAAGAGAGACTGTGTTTTGGATTTCACTGAACTCTATTACTTTGAAACTGTTTTAGGTGAGCCAGGACTGTCTTTGCACTCAAATGGAATAAGGTAAATGTCGAATATAAATTTTGTACACATATGTTAGTTTTCTGCGGATCGTTTTCTACTTCAGCTCCGATCCAGTTCTCTTCTTGATAATTTCTATCTTTTTCAGACAGCAAAGTACGATTAGTAATGCTGGAGACCTAACTCTTTTGTTTCATCATCTTCTTGGGGTAAGCTTTCAGTGTGTTAAGTTTCCAGTTTTGAATAGCTTTTTTGTCTTTAAACTTCTAAAATGGGTAGTAAATAGCACAAGGGACTCAACAGAGATTCTGGATTTCAGTTGCTCGCTGTGATATAGCTTTGAGAAACACATATTTCACTGTTGCCTTTTGTTTACATGTACATCCCATTTTTTATGATCTTGATTTTTTTTCCTTGCAGGTCAACCGATCAAATAAATCTGTCTTTTCAAAGGTGCAGTCAATGAGCTATAAGTTTGTGGCTGATGCTCATGTATCTACTAGAAGTGGTTGGAAAACTCAGGTACTAAAGAATGCGCATGTATCTGTGTGCTGAAAGCCTGTAAGGATGTCATTTTCTTAGACTTAGACATTTCACTGTTTTACAAAAAGCTAGATTCTCAATACACTTTTCCTCTCGATGTAGGAGGACAGGCAAGCTGCTGAAAATTCATCAAAGAAAGAACATGTTGAGGCCCCCAGAAAGCATCAACTTGGCGAGAACATACCCAAGAAGGATAAAATAAAGTTTCTTGTGAATACTGTAAGATATATTGTTCAACCTCCAGTGCTATTGCTTCGCTTTTCTAAAGGTTATGTAATGATGAGGATTCCTTATTGATTGTTCAGCATTTGGTTTCTTTCGTTTATTTATCTTGCTTTATCGTATGGATTATAACGATATGCGCTTTGATATTTATACAGCTTCTTGACATCAGAGATAGTAAAGAGGCTGTTTATGGAGCTCTTGATGTTTGGGTTGCTTGGGAACGTAGCTTTCCAATGGCTTCCCTCAAAAGAGTAATAGCTCTTCTTGAAAAGGAGCACCAATGGCATCGAGTCATTCAGGTATGTATCACAATCATACATTCACTCAAGTCGAGAATATTTAACTTCCACTTTTACCTTCTGAAAAAAAGAGAGGTGACATCACTGGTACAACTGTAATTCTCTTCTACACTGTTGGTGAGATTTTCTGTTTGTTTTCCCTTGTTAATCTCTCAAAGGTAATTAAGTGGATGCTAAGTAAGGGACAAGGAAATACGATGGGAACCTACGGACAGTTGGTACGAGCACTAGATATGGATCGTAGAGCAGAAGAGGCACATTGTATATGGCAAAAGAAAATTGGGAAAGATCTGCACTCAGTGCCTTGGCAATTATGTAGACAAATGATCAGCATCTATCACCGGAACAATATGTTAGAGGAGCTTGTAAAGGTTTGTTTTTCGTCCCGTTTGACTAATTGGTTAAAGCTTGCAGCCATCGAATTCTTAGAAATAGTCTGGTTACTCTCTTCTTTTCCTGCATATGAAATGCATTGCATATTGATAATGGATTGGAAGTCTCAATTTTTTTAACTTTGATGTTCTGTGTCAGACTGATATCGATTTCATGTTTTATGGACTGTGAAGCTTTTTAAGAATCTCGAGAGTTTTGACCGTAAGCCTCCGGACAAAGCAATAGTGCAGAGAGTAGCAGATGCTTATGAAATGTTAGGGATGCTAAAGGAAAAAGAAAGGGTATTGGCAAAGTACAGTGACCTTTTTAACAGCCCAGCATCGATCGGTATATCAAGCAAAGCTTCTTCTAAGAACAAATCGAGTCCAGGTGAGATTGTTTCTGTATTATGCTTTTGCCTTTTGGATATATTTTCCCATGTGCATATTATTCAATCATGATCTAAGCTCGTGTTCTTGAACTTTAACTCGTGACTTTAGGGCATGGGAACTCAGCCGAATCAACCTCAGGCGATGCCCCAGATTCTGAAAAAGCCGGCTTGCAAGAACGTCAGAGAGAGTATCAATCAAGATCCAAGCAGCCAAGAATCCTTCGTCAAGAACATAGTCTCTTACCAGTCTATGTAACATAATATGATATATGTCTGGGCACAGAGGAATATGATACATGCAAACAAAGACAGATGGATTCAAAAAAACAGTAGTATAAATTTTTCTCTGTTTTGTTTTGCCCTAATCTCTAATGCCATATTCCCAGAATAATGGCGATTACAAATAAGAGTAACAAGGAGAAGTTTCCTCCAGGAAGAATGGATGACCTGCAAAACCAAATGAACTCTTTGGTAAGATTCGCTGTTCATAAACTGGGTACTGATATAAGATACAAATTACAATGAAGGTAGTTCCCATGAAGAAACGGAACAATACATAAAATTCTGCTCGGGGTCCATGTACCTGAGCTTCTTCCTGGACTGTTGAATGAATGCCATTGCAGGAGGGAGAACACCAAAGAGGAAGCAGTTTGCATAAACACCAGCAAAATCCAATGCTCTCGAGAAAGTCGAGGGAAAGAAGGATGCTATTAGGGCTGGAGCTCCGAGCACAATCAGCATCATTGCTCTTTCAATGGTCCCATTCCCGTCTTCAACACTAGAGGTTTCGCTGTATGAAACTCTCCCGACGCTTCTCCTTGGCAAGAAACTGACATACCCGACTCTCCCATTCCCATTGTCACTGGACTCTCTGGTAATGAGCTTCCATGTATCGAGAAGCTGTTTCGGGAAGCTAACTGCATATCCGATCAAACTGGTGGCTAAAGCCGAGAAAGCAAAGCCTTGAACAGCTGATAAAGCTGAAGGGTTTACAGATAGAAGAAGAGCAATGGGATCAAGAGATGAAGATACATGCACATTGATTCGTGCAAGCCCTAAAATAATCAGATTCCATGACAGCACCATAGCCAAGGGGACAACACCGCCTACCAAGATGGCTTTCCGGGCATCCGAAACTGAATCTCCAGCAATCTTGCATATGAAAGGTGTAATAACGTGAAACCCTAATGTGAGTACTATAACTGGAACTGCAGGTAGAACAGTGGAGATGGCCCAACACGAGTGACCAAAGGAGGCTATTACATTGGTCCTGGCTACTGATAAACCAATGGCCACGAGTGAAGTTATGGAAAACAACATGAGGAAACACAGAGACCTGTTTGTGAAATCTATGGCCTTGAACGGGAAAAACCCAATCAAGATTGCAGCGATGAGAGGAAACAAAGAATTTGACAACAATGGATTCAAGGAGGGAAAGCATTGAGACACGATGGAGCCAATGCCTGAAACGCAAGCGACCAACAAAGAGAAACTCAACGAAGCATAAACCAGAGCGACAAAAGCTCCAAATTTCTTCCCCAAGGACTTGGTCGCAAGCCCAGTGAAGCTAACCTCTGTAGCATTGTCTTCTTCCATGGCGGCGAAGCTAAGCTCAGCCACAAGAAGAATGGAGGAGATGTTGTAAACCCAGCAGAGAAATATAGCAATCGTCGAAGGGATCGAACCAGATCTGATTGTCGCGGCGGGGAGGCCGAGCATCCCCGGCCCCACGGCGGTGCCGATGATCAAAGTGACTGCAGCCCAGAAACTTTTCTCATTTCTTGTCTCGAGGGTCGCCGTCAAATCCTGATTTTTCCACGGTTTGTCGGGCTTTTCATCGTCGGAGAATTCATGAGAAATGGCGAGCGAAGAAGGGTTCTGGGTTCTGCATCTGAAGACCGAAAGCAGATGTTGTCCACAAGGTAATAATATTGGTTTCCATTGGTCGGCGAGGAACGGCTGTGGGGAACTCCGGCGACGGCATGGGAAAATCTCGGGACCCCGACGAAGGGAAAATGTGCGAGAAAGGGCATTTTGGGGAGAAAGTTTGGATTTTGAATGTGGGGACGAAGTGAGGAAGAGGGAATGTTGGCGGAAAGGAAGAATCATTGCTGCTGAGATGCGGGAGATTCCCTCTGGGTACTGTTTGGTTGGTGAGAAAATTTGTCTGAATCTGTGGCTGTGAGAAACGCTGAGGTATTTGTTATAGAATTTGTTTCATGGTCAACGAGAAGAATCAACATTATAGGAAATATGAGATAAATACTAAAAATGCCAAATACATTATATAATAATGTACAGGTCATCTCCATAATCACTCAAGCTAAAGTTTAATTTCCATATTGAGCACAAAGAAAAGAATCCCTCTCTCATCAAAAGAGCCATACGATTATTAAGTTTTTTTTTTTTTCAAAAACCGAATTTCATGCCGACTAAAAAAGGAAATACACAACTAATATTAGATGAAAACAAATTGTTTGTAAAACGGCTACAAAATCACTCCTCTCTTGATCTTCCGGCAGAAGAGAGGAGAAAAAAAAAAGGAAAAAAAAAACAGCCCTTAGGGCTCCAAATCAAGAAATCTCCTCTCCCATTTTCTTTCTTCTTTGTTTCATCTTTCTATTTTCTTTATTCCACGTTTCTTGCTGCACAAGAAAGTAGTTATCTCCTGGTTTCAGCCGTGACAGTGAAGCATGGCGAGAGATATGTTCATCAAGTTAAATCCAATCTCCATCAATATCAACCGTCCTAGCTTCAATCCTGGAGAAAATCCCGGCACTGTTACCACCATTAGCCCCATAAGTATCTCGTCTCCGTGCTCCATTTGCCCATTATCAATATCTCAGACCTGTTTTCGCAGCCAAAGAGCATTGATTTCTAGAGATAACAACTTGTTTCCCAAGAAAAGTTCGGCATTGGTCCGATGTCAGGTTTACACCCCTAGCTCAATCCATAAATGCTTTGGTGTTGATATTATATATTACATGAATCTTCAAATCAGAGTAACATTGTTAATAATTTTGATGGGATCAAATGGTTGAATTAGACAAGTCTTGGGATTGGAAGAAACCATAAATGGTGGGAAAAAGAGATGCAACCAAACATGAAAGAGGTAACTTCACCTGAAGATCTTGTGGGCTCCTTACTCAACGCCGGAGACAGACTTGTTGTTGTCGATTTCTTCTCCCCCGGCTGCGGTGGCTGCAGAGCTCTTCATCCTAAGGTAAACCCTAAAACCAAAATCGGAAAAAAACCAACGTCAACGAAAATGCTCTTGAACCCATCACGCTTACAATGTATAAGAGAAGATGATTTGTGTGTGCGATGTGACTTAGATATGTCAGATAGCAGAGAAGAATCGGGAGGTACAGTTTCTGCAAGTGAACTACGAAGAACATCGAAGCCTTTGCCAAAGCCTCAATGTTCACGTTCTTCCCTTCTTCCGCTTCTACCGCGGCTCCTCTGGCCGCTTGTGCAGCTTCAGCTGTACCAATGCTACGGTAAGTGTTGTTCCTTCTTTTGATCCCCCTGTCTGAAATGACATCTCAAACCATTTCAACTAAGCTTCTTTTGTAAATGAATAAGTTTCCAAAACCAGAGGCTTGAGATAGAACGAGATTAGTCTGGGATCCAAAACACATGGGCTAATACAAATCTGGGATTGCATTGTTACCTGCAGATCAAGAAATTCAAGGATGCATTGGAGAAGCACGGCCGGGAACAATGCAGCATAGGAGGAACCAGGGGGCTTGAAGAGAAAGAACTCATCACCATGGCTGGAAAAAAAGACCTTTCTTTCTACTACAAACCCGAACTCAAGGGAGAAATTGCAGAGAACCAAGAAACAGAGAGATCACCGAGATCTCCAACTTTGAAAGAACTTCAAAAGAGAGAAGAAGAATTAAAGCTTAGTATTGCTGGAAGATGACAATTGATGATGATAAAGAATGAATGACATGAATTCCCTTTGTTCTCTAAGTTTATTGGCTCTTCAAGTTTTGGATTGCCTCTCTAACGTTTTGTTGGATCGGAGAGTGTTGTTGTTGGCAATGTATGCATGTACTGTAAGTCCATGTGAGGTATCATTGTGCAAAAGCTTTCTTGTATAATGAGACTATATTTAGAAGACTTGAATTCCAAATCTCCATCCTTCAGTTACCAGCAAATCTATACCCACAAAGCTGCGATGGATCTCTCACCTCTTTCCTGGCTTCAACTTTGTGTCTCGTATCAATAGTCAGCAGATTCCTGGGAGTCGGGTCAGCGTCTCTGATCGGGATAGCATCCGTTAAACTACTCGAAACTGCCTTTAGGGACTCTCATACAGTCTCTTCCAGCTCTTGTGTCTTTGAGCTGCATTGCTTATGTTCCGAAGGTGTAATATAATTGAACCAATTCAGATGAAGTTTACAATATCCGCTTCTCGCCTAACAGTCTGCCAGATTCTCCATTTCCTGAGAACACCCAGTTCCTGTCATTGTCGATACAAGATTATCGAGCATCTCATACACCCAATGAGAACACAGATGCTCTTTATCCGATACCAAAAAATAATGTGTCCTGCCGTTCACACTGATCCAACTACAACCGGGAGTCTTTATGATTTCTCGTTGTTTCATCGTCGTTCTCAGTTTAGACACCATATCCCATCTCTTTAAAGAAGCATATAAGTTTGAGAGAGAGACATAATTCGAAGGGTTATCGGGTTCTAACTCAAGGAGGATCCTGTAAGCCAGTTCTTGCATCTCAACATTCCCATGTAGCACAGATGCGCTCATAAAAGCTCCCCAGACGCTTGGTCCAGCTTCCACAGGCATTCCCCTTATAAACTCCAATGCTTCATCAAGCCGCCCTGATTTGCCTAAAATGTCCACAAGACAAGAACACATTTCGGGTGTAGCCCTAACCCCGTAACTGTTTGTTACCAGATTGTATATTGCAAGGCCATCGTTTGTCAGACCTGACTTACCACAAGCTGAAAGGACACTGACAACGGTTACCATATCTGGCTCATGCCCAAGCTTAAGCATCTCATAAAACAAAGCAATAGCTTCCTTGGCCATCCCGTGTAATCCATATCCTGAAACCATTGTACTCCAAGATATTGTATCTCTCATGAATGAATTGTCATAAAAAATTCGTCTTGCATAAGCTAAACAACCGCATTTAGCGTACATATCAATCAAAGCATTGCACAATGGTGTGTCGCTCTCGATTTCATTCCTGATGGCAAAACCATGAATTTGTTTCCCGGCAAAAAGTCCGGCAAGTGTGCTGCAAGCAGGAAGTAAACTCACAAGGGACACTTTGTTTGGTTTGATCCCATCCCTAACTTGCATTTCAAGAAAAAGAGACAATGCACCTTCAAAATCTTCGTTCTGTACGTACCCACTGATAATTGCAGTCCAAATGTACACATTTTTGCACCTTACACGATCAAAAACCCTTCTAGCAACCGCTAGTCTCTTGTTCTTCGAGTACATATGTATCAAGCAACAATGCAGATGAACATCTGATCCCACGAAAAAATCCAGTCCGTTCTTCACTGCGTAGCAATGAATCTCCCTTCCATAATCCCACTTCTGGTCATTGTCATTACACAAAGGCAAAAGAGTGGAAAGA